TTTTTTGCTTGACAGGTGGGTAACGTTAAATTGTTTTTTTTCTTCTAAATTGACGCTTATGTTCGCCAAACCCACACAAGGATATAATTTGCTAGAAAAGCACGTTCACAATTATTTCAGGAAGCACGGAAGGAAGGGGGAGATGAGATGCGGAGGAGGGAGGGTCTAGCTAGCCTCCGATTTGTTAGAAAATATTCCGAACGTCAACACCCAGGATCGCTTAGAGAACCTTTAAGATGACTAAATTTTAGGCTTCTGGTTATTCCTAGGATATCCAAGTCCACTAAAGGAGGGAGGGCATTCTCACATTTAACACCAAAACTCTGGAATAGCCTTCCTGATATTGTTCGAGGCTCAAACTCGCTGTCCCAGTTTAAAACTAGATTAAAAGGTGCATCTCTTTAGCCAAGCATTCACATAATGCTTACCTTTTATACCACTGTTGAATCAGATCGAATGCATTCATATTATAAACAGCAGCTATGCTAATTATTTCCCATCTGCTTTTCTGCTGCTTTTCTGACTAGCATCTTGGGACGCTAGTCCCAAGGCAAATAGCGTTCGTCAGCTCGTTTATATCCAGCCTCTCACAGAGCCTTCAGATGCCCCAACACCTGTGATGAGATGACTAAACGCCTGTGAAGAGACGACTCCACGCTGGCGATATGTTATGCCCTAAATTAATACAAGATTAACCAACTATTTTTTCTATGTACATTTCTGAAATGCACTTTCCATAAAGCTGCTTTAAAACAATATGTATTGTGAAAAGCGCTATACAAATAAATTTGAATTGAATATACACTGGCTTGAGGGCGAGTAAATCATGGGCTAATTTTCATTTTTAAAGTGAACTAACTCCTTCAAAGATCAAAGAGATGTGTTTCAAAACAAGAGACTATCCAATACAAGCACAGACACTATTCTGCTTGAAAATCATTGACATCTATAAGACTTGTTTACCATCTTTAAAGTTTTAAACAGGTTAAGTAATGCAAATCAACAATAATCTGCAATAATACATAAATTTGGCAATTTCAGGACAAATTTTTACTGTGAACAAGCATTTCTGTTAGAGGTTTTTTTTTTTTTTTTTTTTTTTTCCCAGACCAATGCTACAGTACTATGCGAGTCTGAGTGAGACAGAGTGCACATACATGTTATAAGTACACTAATATGCATTCACATCTTTGTATGTCAAGTCAGTTTGACATGTTTTGTTGCGGTTTCTTTTTCTTGCAAGGTGTATGCTGAATGTCATAACTACCTTTCAAAATTGATGAAAACCTCATATAAATGTATTTATATTTTTCTGAAACATCATTAAACAAGACGAACCGTGGTTCAAACACGTGCCGAACTGTGGGTGGCAAACCATTTGCTGTTTTTTTCGTATGTGAATCGTTTCACCCCTACTGAGTCAATGTATGAGTTTGTGTGACAGAGTGTGTAGGATTTTGGCGTTGTGGAATCTGCATGTGGCTTTAAACTGAGCCCCAGTGACACTACGCCATCCAATTACCTGATGCAAACACATCCCACTGAATATTCTACATCTACTGCCCATGTACGCACACCAGAACGTGAAAGAGAATAAAATTCAAAGAATTAAAAAGCTGGCGAATGGTAATTTATCTTTTTTTTTTTTTTGTGAGGATGTGAGGCACTGTAAGAGATGAAGCGTGAGACTTTCTCCTCTCAACAGCCTTTGTATCAGGCAACATCTGAAACTGGGAGGATTTTTACACTGCATGTGTTTACACCTCTTAAATAACAGGGAGGAAGTTACTGTTTAAATTTGGTTGAGTGCTGTAATGTGCAAATGGATCTTCAACAGAGGCTTTCTGTCACTGCAAAAAAAAACAGACTTTTCACACAAAAACTGGGATTCCACTGTACACCCGGGAGGACGTCTGAAACCTGAACCCCAAAAACAACCCCCATACTGCCGTGTCAGTGACAAAATGACAGAAAATGTTGACAACTGTATGGGTTTCACCTTAGCAGTGTCACACTGATTAGCACAGTCCACTGTAAAATTGTTAATTGTTCAACTTAACATATGCAGAGATAAGCCAATCATAAAAAAGCTCATTTACACTACCGCTCAAAAGTTTTTCTCTTTTTTATTAATTATTTTTAGCAAGGATGCATTCAATTGATCAAGTGACAGTTAAGACATTTGTATGATAATGTTACTTATATATATATATATATATATATATATATATATATATTATATTATATACTTATACTTATATATATATATATATTATTCTTTTAAAGTTAAAATCACACTAAGGATGATAACTATAAAGATTAATAAAAAAATATATATAGTTCTAAAAATAACTCCCAATATTGAGGAATGGGAGAGTTCACACCAAAATGATAACGGCACAGAGAAACGATGTAGTTGTAATCACTTTCAGAGCGATTTTATCCAGCTGATGAACGATAAAAATATTGACAGCCAATCAGAATCCATCCTGCTGTAACAAGCTTGAGCATTTAAAGTAACAGAAACAGACAACCACGCACTTGGAATAAACAAAGATATCATCCACTGGTGTGGAGTAATCTTTATAGATCCTGGTGTGGCGTAATCTTTATAGATCCTGGTGTGGAGTAATCTTTATAGATCCTGGTGTGAACAGGCCTTTGATTAAGAATACTGTATCATGGTTTCCATAAAAAAAATTAAGCATTACAACATTTTTTTTAAACTGATGACAAGAAATGCTTCTTGGCCACCAAATATTAATAGAATGATTTCTGAAGGATCATGTGCCACTGAAGACTGGAGTAATGAAGCTGAAAGTTTTTGTATATTGTAATAAAATTTCACAGTATTACTACTACAACTGTATTTCTGATCAAATAAACCCAGCCTTGGTGAGCATAAGAGACTATGTAAGCAATAAGGTACGAGAGGCTGTGCTGTATCGTGAATAAGTAACGGCTGAAGGGCGTTGTTAGGCACGACGTGAAGCGGAGTGCCTGCAACCCCTTCAGCCGTTACTTATTCACGATACAGCACTTGCCTCGAGTACCATATTGCTTTTATAAAACGGTTGCCACACAATATTAAAGTAAAATACAATGTATTAGTGCAACTTTCTTGAAGTAAAATCACTAAAAGCCATCCTTCCGCTAGAAAAAATAGTCCGAGCGTGAACAGCAACAACGTTCCAATGTGTAAAATGCATGAAAGCTCAAATAAAAACAACATAGAACAACATGGCTATGGGCGCAGCGGTCATAGCCATGTTTTACCGAGAATAAACAAGCACAGCTCTTGATCAATCAGAATGAAGGATTCGAACGGACCGTCTTATTTATATATATATATATATATATATATATATATATATATATATATATTAAAAGTTTTGAAAGGTACAATAAAAAAACGTTTAACACTAAACATCAGAGAGAGGGTGGAAAACAGTAATGTAATGCTATTGCATCTGCTTTGGTGCCAAAAACACTCAGCATAAGGAATATAGAATAAAACTTCTATAACATCCACACTTTCATGTACTACATGTATTGGCCTCAATGCCAGTAATCAACATTGCTTTCACCACCTTACTACAGTTTCATTACATCAGAAGTTTACAAAAATGATAAAGCACATAATATCATCTAAAAAGAATAATACAAACTTTCTCAATTGGTTCTAAAACAAAATAAAAAACTACATTTATAAGCTCTGTTATTTTTCATATCTTTGATTTGAATAAATCAACACTTAAATCACTGCTGTGGGTCAGACTAACACATTTTTTCTATCCCGGTGGGGAAATCAACCTGAATGCACAATGACTTATGGGGACTCACGTCATCGTGCGGACCTAAATTGAGGTCCACATGAGGAAACAAGCAGCATATAAATCATCCAGAATGATTTATTTTTTTTTTTTTTAATGTAAAAATGCAGAAAGTTTTCTGTGATGGGTAGATTTAGAGGTAGGGGTAGTGTAAGGAGATATACAGATACAGGAATATACAGTTTGTTTTCTGCAATTCAAATTAACAAAGAAACAGATTTAAGAAAGGTTCATATAATCTGGATTTGCTTGATCCGACCAACTCACAATCACACATGTACAAAACAATCATCAACTACAGAGAGGAAGAGAAAGACAGAGACAGTGTGCCTCTCTTAAGAGATAAAAGAGGGTAATGCTGAAAAAGATGTAGACTAGAGAACAGAGATGGGGATAAAAACAGACACGAGGTCATGAACAGCTAATTATCCTGTCAGTAGTAATGCACTCAAGCCTGTGATCACCACAGGGTCATCCGTACTACATGCACCAGAGAGAGAGAGAGAGAGAGAGAGAGAGAGAGAGAGAGAGAGAGAGAGAGAGGTGTGTTGGTGTGTTTTAAGTTAGCAGATGAGTCTTTCTGTGAGCTCAATGAGAGTCCTTCACCTCTTGGATATGGGTACATGGTCTGAGAGAAAACAGATTTAACACATTATAATCCTTCACAGAACTTCTCATGTGTTATTCAAGATTTTCCCCTCCATTTCCACATAGCCTTTCTCTTAGCACTCCGTGGTCCATTATTAGCTGTAAAAATGACACTTTCATTGCCCCATTGTCATCAAAATGCTCAAGTCTGCATCCTTCAGCACCAAGCCTTCACCTTTACACTTCTGTTCGTTTTCTTTTTTCTTTTAGCCTCCACTTCGAATCATAGCAAATTCTCTTGCAGTCCATCTCTTCCCATTAAAAAGGCAGATTTTATTTGCCTCTTCTTGTTCTTCCCTAAACCACTCTATTTCCCTTATTTAAATAACTCCTGTCATGTAGCTTATAGTGAAAGTGACCCTGAGCTGAATCAAAGCATGACACAAAACAAAATACATGTGCATTATACAAAAAGTACAAAGCAGCTAAATAAAAGTAAAAGTTTTGATCTTGTTTTTCAAATTCATCAAGTTCAATAGGTCTGCCATGCCTTTTACCCACCACGCAGATGTTTCTTACCTATTGGTGACGAGGTAGAGATGTGGCATCACGTGGCAGCCGTTTCTCACACTCTTCGTCAGAAGAGCTCAGCCTCGTGGATTCTGCGGCATGCCTCTATGCTTTAATTTACTGTATAATTATGTGTCCAGAAAGAGATCTGAAAAAAGAAGCAGAAGAGACTGGTGTGAAGTCACAAAAATGTCACCGAACGAGAGTACATAATATATATATACATATATGAAGAGTTCAGATGCAAAACCCTCTAAATGCCATTTGAAATTGTCTTCTTTAATGATGATTTTTATCAAACTTGTATATTTAAGTTCAGTAATTTCACTTAAATAACAATTAATAGGTAATTATCATTGCAATTTAAGTGAAATCACTGAACTTAAATATACAAGCTTGATAAAAATGATCATTCTAGAAAAAAATTTCAAATGGCACTTAGAGGCTTTTGCATCTGAACTCTTCATATATATATATATATATATATATATATATATATATACACATATACATATACACACACACACATACATATATATATATATATATATATATATATATATATATATACACATATATATATACACACATATATATATACACACATATATATATATATATATATATATATATATATATATATATATATATATATATAGCACTTTATCATTCGAATTAAAACTGTTGTTTGTAACTTGGACACAAACCAAAAGACAAGATTATTCATAAATTAATTCTGCAAAAACAGCTGCAGTTCAATTAACTGTAAAAGTAATGTGATGGAATCAAATTACAATCTATAATAATAACCCAAGAAGGTTATTATTATAGATTGTAATTTGATTCTGCTATATCACATTACTACTGAGTTCAAAATGTTTACATGTTTTTCTCCATCATGAAATCAGCCCACAGCCAAGCTAAAAAAAAAAAAAAAAAAAAGTCTTCGCAAAGCACTGGACAGTCAGGTATTTAAGGAGGAGGAACCGCTCAAGGACAGTTGATCAGTCTGAAGCCCTGTAGGACTCAGGCCAGTTCAGAAATCAATCCCATCATCCCCTAGACATAACTTCAAACACAATCTGGGCTCTAACTGCTCTACACTCTGAGGGATGCCCAAATCTCCTCAGCTTAACACCATTATCATCTAAAAAACCTGCTCACGGCGGTACTGAGGGATGGATTCACTCTCCCGTCAACTAGAAGAATGTGTGTGTGTGTCCAGTCTAGTACAGCAGGTGTTAGTGTAAAGCGAGAGATTATTGGTCACATGGCGGACTCACTGATGACTGGATTAAGCCCCTTTCAGATCAGTCATTGAACTCCAACGCATTGGAGCAAAGCATCAACTGCCGTAGGATGGGTCCAGGTAAGGGAGTGTGGTACGGCAGCTGCACGAGCGCCCCTGTGTCTGGTCCAAGGGGGCGAGGAGTAGGGGCTGAGCAGTATATATTGAGTTTGTACGATATATCTTTTTTTATAAATTATGTGGAATGAGGCAATTCCATTTATATTGATATAAAGTATATTACTTTGCAAGCGCATCTGAAGAATAGAAGAGGACGCATATGAACGGCTGTGGGGAACGTACATAAAACATGAGCCATGCTTTATATTAAGGGCTTCAAAATAACTGGTGAGATATAGTTAAGATGTAAGGCCAATAGATTTAAGTGGCTTGCCCCATCAGATGCTCTGAGACACGTGTGCTGACAGACACTTGCTCTGTTTAATGCGTTTGAGATGTGGTGCTTTCCTTAGTGCATAACTTACATTTTAAAGGTTTATTCTCCATTAGTATTCTGTAAACGTTAGAAAGTCATGCAAATATTTCCATTTTGCTGTCAGGAGAGGATGTGCGTACTGCAAGCAAATCTCCGCTAAAATTCCACAGATTTCAACAAGCGATGTCGCACGGATGCACACCAAACAGATGGAGTGCAATAATCCTTACTAAAATGTATCGTTGGACAATAATTTGCCATGTAGAATTTTAAACCTACAAGTGTATTTTTATAAAAAAAAAAAAGTCACTATTATAATGGGGTAATATAAGGCTAACATTAGTATGTGATTTTTTTTTTCTTTTTTTGTGAATTTAAAAATAAAATCATTTTTGTTTTTAGATTGTAATGTTAGAAAGAGCATTGTTTGAAGGAAATCATTTGGCAGGATGTGCTTCACATCCAGACCACGAGTTTTTGTGCGTCGGCAGACTAAGTTTCTTCGGTGTGTTCTGCACGGTTCTGTGCCGTCGGCTTTGTTTTGCCCGATTCGACATGTTAAATTGGCGTCGAGCCGTCTGGGAAAGAAGAAGACAGAAGGCTGTTCTTATGTTACGTCATCTTACCTGAGTGTTCCTTGGTGAATATTTCAATATTAACATGAGCGGAGTGGAATGAAGAAAGAGTTTAGCAGGATTGATATTTAAAACGGTAAGCACACGCTGCTTTGTTTATGGTATGTGTCTCTGCAGCCGGCAGTGTCAGTTTTCCTTTTTGAATGACGAATATAGACTAATATATCTGCAACTATGATAGACAGTTGGCTTATTTACACGCAGGCGCAGAATGCACATTCTAGCTGACAGTCGCCTGTAGTTCTCTCGGTGTGTTCAAGTGCAGCTTTTTACCCCGACGAGAGGCGACAACACAATCGGCTTTCATCAGCGCTAGTTCGCCGGTGTCGGCTTGGTGTGTTCCGGGCTTAAGGGAACACAGCTGTCTTTGAACACAATGAGGCCGCAGTGAAACAGCCAATCAGAGCAGAACTCCTCATTACTATTCATCATGACCCTTCCAAATAAGGTAAAAACAGACTAGAGCCAAAAGACATTCTAGAGCCAATTTCTAGAGTTGAAAATGGACCTGTAAAATCATATCTGGACATTTGAAATGCTTTTAAATAAGCCACATATAGATATTAGAGACAAAATTAAAATATTTCAACTCATTTAGGGCACGTTTAAATTACTTGTGTGTAATATTTCAAGTTTTAAACTCTTTCTTATATTATTATTTATGAAAGATATAACGTAATATGTGTTTGGAATAACATGAGAGTGAGTAAATGACGACATTTTCAGTTTGGGGGGGGCAACTATGACTTTCAAATATGATCCCATAAAACTGCCAGTTGTCCTTCCCATAACAAAGTGAACACATTCGATGGGAAGAAGCAGAGAAGGCAGCTGCACAGGATTCTCACCTCTCCGCTCTAATTGAAGAAGTTAGTTATTATGCCATCTAATGAGCTTTAGAAAGTCAATTCCTTGACAAGCACAATAATAATTAAAATTGATACTGAGCCTGAGAGCATCTATTCAGCACTGCAAAAGAATCACAATACTATTGATTTTCACACCTTTACTGCAAAGAGATGAAAAAAAGATAGAAGTCCCTTCATCTGATGATGGATAGATGGAGGTAGAAAATAGTTTCCTGATGTCCTTCTCACAAACTGCACATAAACAGATCTTCTCAAAGCACTCGCTTCCTTGTCGAGAAAGCAAAAATAAATAAATAAAATCTAAAACAAAAATCCAGAAAATCACATTGTATACTATGATTTAAGTAATTCAATTCATTTTCAAGTAATTCATCAAACACTTGTTCGGCCCATTGTATAAATCACAACATGGAAGCATATAAAAACTGAAAGTAGATCAATGTTAAAAGCCAATTCAGGTTTACACATCACATGCAGCTTAATCAATATTAGACCCAACAATTGAATTAAATCACAATTGCCAAAAGGTGCTTTAGTAGTTAAAGAATGAATTTGAGCACAAGAGATAAGAGTGAGAGAGATGAAGTGAGAGAGTGAAAGAGACAAGATAGAGACAGATGATCAACTCAGCACCGGACGGCAATCTACAGCTAGGAGAGATGGAAAGACAGAGAACCAGCAATAAAAGAGAGAAGTAGAAAAGACAGAAGATGAGAAACAAAGTGAAAGAGTGAGCTGAATAAAAATGGCAGCATAAAAAAGAAGGTGACGGATTACAAGAACAGTTTTAAACGTCCTGCATCGACATTAGATTTCCTTTGATAACGGCCATAAATTATAAAACTGTTATCATGAGGTGTGGGCCATTAAAGGAATAAGCATAGTTCACAATTTTGGAGTGAATTATTCCTTAAAGAACCATTACAAGATATCAAATTTATATGAGAAGGGTGACCTCATTCAAATGCTAATTTAAATGGAACCTCAAACCCCAAAGTACTAATTTGTATTCAGTCTGGCAATTATTGTTAGGTTACAGCTGATAACCGACAAATGCCGATTTTGTAAATCTATATTAAAGGAGCTGTATGTAAGAAATTTATTTCAAATAATCATAAAATGGCCTTGAAAACCCACTAGAAATTAAGAAATCATGATCATTTCAAATACTTATATCATTTACTTATAAGTTGCAGCCCTCAACTGATGTTGATGTTGTCATGTTGTGTTTTGTTCTGATGCGCCACCCTCCACCTATATCACTTTTCTTTAAAGTCCCTGTAAAGTCAAAATTAAGTATGTGTTCTGAGTTTGTCACACCACAGAAAAATGTGTTATTAGCCATCCAGCCAAATTTGAATGATAAAAAAAGCCGGCAAGTACATAAAATAAGCTATCAAAATCATGAAATAATGAGCAGTATTCTCTGCTCTCAAACACTGGGGTCGTGTCCGCTGGCTGCGTGGAAACCACGCCCACTCACGGGAAAGCTTTTGCAGACGGGAGGATGAACGCTGAGGCGGGAGATAGCCGTTTCGGCCCCGTTCACCAGTAACAGCGGATTATCAGTGAATAATCAGTGAATCCCAGTTGTCTCTGAGGAAAGTTTATAAAACGATCCAGTGTAAAACGATCACTACACAGGTGGGTGTTGGCGGTGATCCTCAGCTCTTCATCAACAAGGTTGGCTGTCTAAAAACCTCTTCTTGACTTGCTGTGATCGTTTTTAGGGAATTTAAATGAAGATACCGATCTGTTTTGTACATGATCGCATCCAGGTAATAGCCTATGCATTTCTTTGTCAAATAGCTAGCTAGAAAACTGTAGGCTGTAGTAACTAATAGGACTGACAGTCACTCACGATTGAGCGGCGAATGCGAATGTGCTCTATTGTTAGGGGAGAGATGAGATCAGCAAAAT